CAGCATACCACTGTGGGGTAAGCACTGCACTGATGAGCACACAACACTGTGAGCCAGTCTTCTTCCAAACTCTCCACCTCCCATCTCATGAGATTTTGGAGGAGATTCTTAATTGAAAGTATAACAGACATCATAGTTTAAACACATGAATCTAGCTATAACTAAGTTTTCCAATTAAATGAACAAGTACATCTTCCTTTTATATAAGTTCATTTATGTTATTTTTATATTAATATGAAGATCGTTCACACTGCAATTATTTATGTCTCTCTGGGGTTTTTTTTGTTTTTTTGTTTTGGTACCAGGGATCGAACTTGGGTCCTTGCTTATTCATGTCTCTTTTTCTCTTGGGTTATGATTTTTTCATCTGTTTTGTTTACAAGTATTCTCTTTACTTTTAAAATAGAAACACTTTTACATACTATTTTTCTTTTTTTTTCTTTAAATGTAAATATATTTAAAAAATTAAAACACCCAAGAAATGCAATCTATACATATGAAAAAGTAAAATATTTATATGCATAACAAGTAGTAGCAACGTTATCCATAAGGAGCAGTTAGTGTTTATTTTCCCCGTATTTCAGTTTAACACCATAGTGGTAGTTTATTCTTTTTAGGGAAATTATATAAGGTTACATATAGCATATTATGAGCAAGTTGTAGAAGAATGTATAATTGGAAAATTAATTTCAAATAACAGTATTTTCTCTAAAGACACATTTATTATTAAACAAACTAGTTTAAACTAGTGGACAACAAAATGAGCCTATAATTTATTAAGTTCAAGATATATAGTCAACTTGCATAAAATTACATATGGTATTTTAAAAACAGCCTATTTCTAAAATATCAGTAATTCAGGCAATCGGGATTTCTACAGGAGATAAACAGCTATTCACTTTTTACAAAGAAAAAGTCTGCATTAAGAACGTTACAACTATATTTTTAAAGTATGCTATCACATTTCTTAATAAGTCCAATGGTGAAACATGTTCTTAGTTTATTCTTCTATTGGTACTGGCCCTGAACTAGCACTTCAGTAGGTGATCAAATCTAATAACCGCATTTCCAAATGGCTTTGGCTTTTATTCTCTTCTAGAAGTTCATATGACATGTATAGTTTAGTTCAGAATTGTTAATTTCCATTACAAATGGGAACTTATACTGACAAGATATAAGAAATAAAGTACTTGGATTGTCTACTACTTTATTCAGAACTTATCTATAGACACCACAAAATCAACTTTTACACATAAGAAAAATACTAAGAATTTCTGATTTGGGAGAAATGAAATAAAATACAGTGAGTGGTTTTTCTCTTCATCTCTATCTGTAAAAATCCCTTTGCCTATTTATTTGACCCATCTCTATTCATGCAATTTAATGAACCCTCAAAAGAATTTACACATCTTTATACAGAATTCACATCTACACGAGTAAACTGTCAGTCCTTTTATATTTTCAGTGCCTTATCAAAATATGGGGCAGGAAGATGTTTCCTAAGAACTTCTTTGGATGATGAAGATATAGTATCTGGGAAGCACACATCAAATTCTATTAGAAGGTCACCATGCTGGTCAGGATTTTTTGGAAATGGCAGCCCATATCCAATGATTCTTCTCCTCATTCCAGGTTTCACAATATCATTTATCGACATAGGTATATTTCTTCTATCCATTGTTGGCACATTAATTGAGCAGCCACACAATGCCTCTTGTAAACTAATTTTAGCAGTATAAATTATATTTGATCCATCTCTTTTGAACTTTGGGTGATCTTTGTCTTTAATAATGAAAACAATATCTGCTGGAATACTATTTGGTGTTTCATCTCCTTCCCTTGGAAAAGTAAATTTGGTGCCTTCTTTCCACACTTTTTTGATCTCAATGGTGAGAATTTTGTCCTCAGATCTGTAACTCCTTCCATCAGGGTTTAATCTTTTTCGAGAAATTTTCATTCATTTGGTGCAACCGCTGTATATTTCCTCCAGTGAGACTCGAAGTTTGTGAATAACAGGGGGGCCTTGTTTAAAATGGGACGGCCCCACAGAATTCCAGTCTCTCAGATACCCTTTCATGCTGAATCCAAAGGCACTGAAGGGATCTCCATCTATTTCCATCTCTTCAGAATCTCTGCCACCACCCATCCGTCCTCCAAAGAAAATTTCAAAGGGTTGGAACCTCCAAAAAATGCTGCAAATGTAGCATGAGGATCACTGTGAAAGCGTACCAGAAGGTACCTCCTTGTCCATCAGTACCTCCTGCTCCTCCTTTCAACCCTTCTTCCCCAAACTGATCATATATTTCTCTCTTTTTGGGATCACTCAATACTGCTTAAGCTTCTGCGACTCTTTAAATTTTTCCTCTGTCTGAGATTTGTTCTTGACCGGATGAAATCTGAGGGCTTGTTTTCGGTAAGCCTTTTTAATATCTTCATCAGAGACTCCTTTCTCAATTCCCAAAATGCTGTAATAGTCTTTCCCCATTTCGAATGCCTTGAAAGGAACTTAAGTTGCTCTCCCTGGGATCAAATGCAGGTCCTTGTGCTTGCACAGCAGGTGGCAAATAGGGGGTTTTTTTGGTACTGGGGATCGCACTCAGGTCCTTGTGCTTGCGCAGCAGGTGGCGAAACCAGGCAAATAGTTTTTTAATGAACCCTAACAGTGGTCAGCTACTAGTGTGGCTGGAAACTGCCAGAAGGGGTCAGTGATTGGAGCCCCTTTTTATATTTAACTTTATTATTATAGTCATGACTTAATATTTTCGTTATACTTTTCTACTGGGTGTGTAAGGCCAAGTTAAAGTGAGACCTGAGTCAATCAAAATTAACCTCTTGCTAGCTGTCAAGGTCAGTTAAGTGTCTTCAGACATTGCTTTGGAGCCCTACAGTCTCAGCTCTTTGTCACCGTCAGCCTTCAGGATGGTCACAGCCTTGCTTGACCATGTTGCTTTTGCACACCCAGCCTTTCTTAACAAGTTTAAATCACAACATTTATATTTATATACCTATTGATGCCGGCTTTTTCTTTCTTTCTTTCTTTCTTTTTTTCTTTTTTTTTTTTTTTGGTACCAGGGATCAAACTGGGGACCTTGTGCTTTCGAGGCAGGTGGTGGAACCACTGAACTAAATCCTTGGCATGCAGGCTTTTTCTAATGCAACATATTTTTAATATTTCTGAGACACATCTTTGATATCTGTAACTCATCTTTCATCTCCTCTGTGGCTTTCTCATCTTTTCAAAACTGGTCCCATTCCTGGGTTTCTTGCTTTTGTTTTTGTGGGCCTGAGCATAAAATCCGGGGCCTCATTCTTGCATGACAGGTATGAGCTACCACTGAGCTACACTCCAGCTCCCAATCCTAACACAATATTGAAAAGATGGATTAATAAAACGAGTCCGAAGAATTGTACTCAGTCTACTCTGTACTTAAATACCTTAAGTTTCTATAAACTTGAAAAGAGTTTTTATGAGAAGTGGACTTGTATGCTTAAAATATAAAGAAAAGGTGATGATCATGTTAACCTTTCAAAAAACAGGGCCAGGGCTGGAGATTTAGCTCAATGGTTCCAGCACCTGCCTCTAAAGCACAAGGTCCTGAGTTCATTCCATGGTACAAAAAAAAACAGGGCCACCTACTCCACAGACCTTGGTGATGATGATTCAGCATCTCCTCCTAAGTGGCTCTTCTTGGCATATTCTAACAGCTATGGTTTTCTAGTTCTCAAAACTCTACTTTTTTGCTTGTTTGTTTTTGTTTCGAGACAGTGCTTCAACTAGGTAGTTCAGACTGACCTTGAATTCACTATGTAGCCCAGGCTGACTTTGAACTCCCAGCAATCCTCCTGCCTCAGCCTCCAAAGTGCTGGGATTACAGGCATGTGACATACTATTTTTCTTTTAATTATACTTTTAATACTTTTGTCCTAAAGCTTAGATATTTTATGTTTCTATGTAGTTGAATCTAATCTTTATGGCTTCTTTCCTGGAAACTATGGTTTGCAGTCTTTACTTACACACTTCATCCATTATTTTAAAAAATCCTACCTGGAAAATTCTGGCTAAATGGTCCTGTTTTTCTGGATCTCTCTTCTTTTTTTATTGCTTTCTATGTCTTTCAGATGGTACAAACTCATTTTGTTTAATTTTTTACATATTTTGATTTCTTTATTTTTATCTCTTCATAGTTTTCCTTTTTCTTCATTTTTATAGTTTCAGTAGTACGTCAGTAGAATTTTAGCATCATTTTATCATGTTCCTTAAAATAATCTTTGAATTCTTATTATAGCTTTACTAAATATGTAAATTAATTGATATTTCTATTTTCATATTATTGAATTTTGCTATTTGAGAGTATCAGATACCTTATCTGTTCTTTCAATATCTCCAATGATAATTGAGTACTTCACAAAGAAGATATAATATTTCCTTTTCCCAAAGGAACTTGACATAGTATTTTCTTTCTTAAATTATTTTCATCTTTAATTGACACACAATCGTACATATTTATATGACACTGTGGTATTTCAATACACATACATACAATGTACAATGATCTAGTAGGACAATTAGCATTCTGTATCACCTTGACATTTGTTATTTCTTTGTGCTGGAAACATTCAAAATCCTTTCTACCAAAGCTGTTGTGAAATTTCCAAGTAAGATTTGTCAGCTGCAGTTACCTCCTGTGCTACAGACACTGGAAGTTAGTCCCCCTGCCCAGCTGAACCTCTGTACCCATTGCCACCCTCTCTCACTGCCCTTCTGCCCAGCATCATACTATTCTTTGGAAAATTATTTTTCTATCATATTACAATATAGTATATTGTGAATATATTAGAATTTGGCATATTTCATATTATAAAAAAGTTATCTCATACAACTTTTAATAATTATTCTAGTAGATCTTTTGCAATTTATTGGTACAGTTGTTTTTTGTACATTTTAAGAATTTTGTGGGGCCGGGGATTTAGCTCAGTGGTTCTGCCGCCTGCCTCACAAGTGTAAGGACCCGAGTTAGATCCCCGGTATCAAAAAAAAAGAATTTTGTGTATTCCTTTGTAGTACTCACATCAGTTATATGTGTCTTTGAACTGCTTTACATTTCTAGCAAATGGATACACAGTAACTGAGGAGAGTACTTATTGTATTTCTAAAATTAATGGAAAAGCTTCAAGAGTTTCAAGTAGTACCCCGATGCCTGTAAGTGTACACATTTGTGTGCAGCTGTGTATACTCACGCACTGAATCCACCTGGTAGCACCATGTTTGGATTGACAGGGGAAGCCTTGGAGCAGAGCTGTGAGCGTGATTTTCTACAGGGCAGGCACTGAGCAGGAAGCTGTGTGGGTACCTTGACAACTGGAGCAAGCACTGACTGATACTGTCAGACATTCTGACTGGGTAGAGATTATAGTTTTATGTTATAAATGTGGCAAGTCTGTAAGAATAAATGAGCTTATGCTATAGTAACAATATGCTGTGCTAGCAGTATGAAGATACCGATTATTTTAAGCACACTGTCTTTTCCGGTTCACTCTAGATGAACACCCCAAGTTGGTCGTGGTCCTGGTTTTCATCTGCTCCATGATACTGTGATTCCAGCCTGAGTTAGCTGCTGCTGAGAGGGGAAAAACCTGGCAAAGCATTCGGTGGTTCTTACGCCAAAACAAGTCCATAACAGTTCAGATGCTGAACAATCACCTGACCTAGATTAATGCCTATGGGGTTGAGAAACATGATTCCTCCCCAGGAAGGGGTAGAAAATAGCTTCCAATTGAACTTACAGCAACTAATTCATAGTGCATAGGAACAGAAGTGGGACAAACAAAACTTATTGGCAGGTTTGTCTTGCAGACTACCTTTCTGCATTATTTCATGCTCTTCAATTCTAAATTCTAGTTCTAAAATCATGTGGTTAATGGTCTCCATCTCACTGAACCAAGTAATATAGCTGATGATAGCTCTAAACTTTCCAATGTCCTTTGGGAAGCAGAACTGCACAATAGCTTTGGTGGTCTTCCAGAAGACTCACGGAACCATAAATCTTGAGTGATCATTAGATAAAAACTAGAATTAAAATTCTTTCCTGAAAGTCAAGACAAACACACAATCTCATGTTTTTAACCTACAACTATTCTAAATTTGCCTAGGCATCCCTACTACTCGGCTTGGCTTACATGTTATATTCATTTCTAGGTATTATATAGAAGAGATAAATTAATTCTAAAATCAGTTCCCCACATCAAATAATAGTCTTCAAAAATGCCAAGCAATTTCAATAGAATAAATTTCATTGATTTGTCACCTGTCAGCATTCCTTGCTAAATGCTTGCTTTGCCTTGTTGATGTCTTTCTCATCACCTGAAAGCACTCAATGAAGCAGCATAGTTCCCTTAAAGACTACATAAGCCACCGCAATGGACAACAAGTAACACTGCTGTCTCTTTATTTTTTAACAAGTGTAATTGATAAAATTGTATGTAATATTGGACAACTGTGTTATATTTTGGCACATGTACACGTGTGCTATATTTAAATCAGGCTATGCATTTATCATTTCTTTATGTTGAAAACTTCAGAAACACTCTGTCTCTCATCTGTTTGAAATACCTTTGCCATTGTTGTCCATGGCTGTCCTGCCACACTTCCCGGGCCTCCAGCCCTGATTCACCGCTCCATGAGCGTTGCCCCTCACCTGCCCCTGCAGCCTGGTACCCACTATCCTGTTCCCAACTTCTACGAGGTCAGACCCCGTGTGTGAGTGAAGTCATTTGGCACTGCCTTTCTGTGCCGCCTCATTTCGGTCAACACAATATTTCCAGCCCCCTTTATGTTGCCAGACATAACAGGGTTTTATGATTTTTCTGGCCGTACAGTGCTCAGCTGTGTGTGTGTCGCACTTCCATTCTTCAGCTGATTCCGTTCCCACCCAGGTCGCTTCCATCAGCACCCGGCTGCTTTGAGCAATTCTTGAAACCGCGAGGGCTAGCGTCTCTGAGACCAGTCTTGGCTCCGGATTTCCCGAGCCCTGCAGCAGTCCTGTTATTACTCCTCCATGTGTCTGCTAATTTACACTCCCACCACCAGAAGCGTGCAACGTCCCGTCCCTCCGCGTCCTCGCCTGCTGGCGTCGCCGCTAGCCTGTGTGGTCCCGCGGTTGGGGCTCTGGCGGCGCTGTCTCGGACCGTCTGCGTTTCCCTGGTGAGAGGCGGGCTGCCCACTCCTCCGCCTGGCACACGACTTCCTGAGCTGCGGCCTGCTGTGGGCCGGCTGCTCTCAGCCACCCCTCCAGACTGCTTCTTGCACAGCTGCCAGCTGCCTGCTGGCGACAGGAAGCCAAGCACACCTGCAGCAGGTACCGTACCGGGGAGATGCTCCGCCCCCGCGTCTCTCCCTGCTTCCTTCTCAGAGTGTTTGATCCGAGGAAACTCCCTACCAAGGATGCTGCAAAGTAAACTGGCTCAGCCTCGCCTTCAAGAGAACCCAGGCTAAGAGAGCCTGCGAAAATCCCTTCATCACTCTGTTGTCGTAAGTAAGAACAAAATAACAAAAATTGTAAGTATCTGTAAACTAATATTCTCATTTAAAATAAAATTTCCAATCAAATTTTTAAATTATAACATGATTTTCATAGGGAAATGGAAATTATCTTTCTTGCTATGAACTTTCTTCCCTACTGTGATAAGTATTAAATATTTTAACTTTGTGTTTTGATTATAGTGATTATATTTTTGACAAATGTAATTTAAATACTGTTTAACTTCATATGTGGACTGTGGTGTTAAATTTGCCCTAATTGGTGATTCCTGCACTGTGGCGTGGAATCCTATTCCTTTGTAATGTTGGCCTATCTGCCCGCGAATGTGCGGTCCATCACCAAGGTGAACCGTGGAGGAACCCAGTCTGAGAAGCACAGTGAGTGTGGGAAGAGCAGAGAGCCCGGTTTTATTCCCTTGGAGGTGTCACTACAAATCTTTTAACACAATTGCTTTGTTAAAGCCCTTAAGTGACAAAGAAGAATTTAATTGTAATTGTATCCAGGTCTTCTCGGTGACAACACTACAGTATATGTAGTAATTTCCCCTAAAGCCTTTGAATATCTCTGTAATTTCTACAAATAATAAAATATTGTGTGTACTTTATTTCATGTGAATCTTAAACCAAAGAGATTACAAAGTGTACTTTTGTCTAGAACGTGTCTCAAATTTTCAGCATTTTATAAATGTCTAAATTGAAGTGAGAACTATAAATACACTATCCTATTTAATTCTCATTCAATTTCCAAAAAATGCCTTATATTCATATATTCTCTTTGTAGTGATTGGCATGTTTGGTTAGGAATTTTCAAAGTAAAATTAATGGGTATTTTTTTCACATTTGTACTGCTTCTGTTAGTATACCACATTCCAAAAAGTGTACAAAAGTGTTTTAAGGCTAAGAATGCAAAAATAGGATATTACACTGTGTGGTGGTGAGGCCAACTGCAAACAAATTAGAGAGAAGGATGAAATCCTGTTACTGGGATTTGAAAGCACTTTTCTATTTATAGAGTATGAAGGACTAACTATTAAAAGTTAAATATTGCTGAATATTTTCTATTTGTCAATGTTCCTTAATAAGGTGCTCATGACAAAAAAAATCAAATGTTTCACCTTTCGGGACTTCCATTTGGTTTCTGAAATATTCAGACTGGAAATAGCTCTGAGCACTTATTTTCAATTGTATTTTCTTGAGGGTGAAGCTAGAAATTGGCCCCATGGCATATGCACTTGCTGCACTGCTGTGAAGTTAAATCATTACTTTGAAGTTTTATGATTGGAGCACACACATCTCCATACCTTAGGAATATGTGTATGTGCATAACAATATCCAAATTTTACACATTTTTCCTAAATCTATTAATTTTATATTTCTCCACAATCTATAAAATATTCATGGTTGTTTTCTGCTTATTATGAGAGTTGACATTTCATCACAATATTTTCTATAACATTCAATGGTCAGATGTATGTTGAAAATATGATTAAATCATTTATAAATTGAGATGACAGGAAGTCGATTCTTTTAATAATTCCGCAGCAAATTACTTTTAGGAAGTGGGAAGTTAATTCATCTAGAAGTGCACAATATACTCCCTGATTCTGCAAATGTTGGATCCCATTCTCTCTCAAACAAGGGAGGAAACATGTGCAGCAGGGTGAAGACTCACTAGCTGAGGGCACTCGGGATTTCCATATCTTGGTTGCACTTTTTCATGAGGAAAATAGGGAGCAATGACGAAAGCTACTTTAGTGATCTACTGTTTCATGTTGCACACGCACCTGGCAAACATCTTTAATCCTGCTCTGGTCTGTTTCCCCCTCTGTAGACTGGAGATAATAATATCAGCATTACTTCATAGAGTTTCCTAATATTAAATGCCTGAGTACATTAATAAGATGCCTGATTCCTATATGAGTTCTAAATTATTAATACCCAGGGACAGAGGGAGGTGTTTCCCTATAACATTCACCAGTGACAAACTGTTTCCATCTATTGTAAATGGGACAGTGAATCCACTCCCCAAATTTAGGTCCAGCAGGGACCTGAAAACGTGACTTATTTGAAAATAGAAGTTTTGCTCAGGGAATGAAAGACACAGATGAGTTAATGCTGCATTACACTCTATTAAATCCACTGGGACTGTTCTTATTAAAGACAGAAGAGGGCTGCAGGAACACAGAGAAGAAAGTATGCAGACCTGGAGGCCGCAATTAGAGCCCAGGAATGCTGTCTTCAACGCTGGCCTGGCCGAGGAAGCCAGGAGAGATACGGAACCGGAACTGTTTCTCTCTTAGAGCCTTCCGCAGGAACCCGCCTCACCAGCCCCTGACTATGGGTTTGTGGCCTCCTGAACTGTGAGATGAAATATTTCCACTTTTCCAAGCCACCCAGTATGTGGAGATTTGGTATAGTGGCTCTAGGAAACTGCTATAATACCTTCCCTCATTTGCTAGATGGGACAAACCTCTGAACTGAGGATCATTACCAGGGGATCTGTGTTAATTCGGTGGTGGTTGAATTGGACGTGTACAGGTATGAGAAGATCAAGTCCTTGACACCTCTAAGGCCTGTAAAGATGGAAGCTCGGTGTTAAGAGTCACCTTCAAAGCAGTAATCCTCTCCCTTGAAGCCCTGAGCTTCTCAGCCACGAGGGTTATAACCGCCGCTGCTCAGGGCTCTGGGCCCCGATACCTGTCGCATTCGGGGAAGTTGTTCCCCCTGATCTCCGTCCACTTAGAGAAAGTTCCAATGAAGCTAAACAGAAACCCACTGATTTTTTTTTATGCTATTAATTTAAAAAGTGGAAGCTCTTAACAAGATATTTTCTTGAATCACATGTGATAAGCCTCAATTAAGAAATAGTCAGGGCTGAGGATTTAGCTCAGTGGTTCCACCACCTGCCTCGAAAGCGCAAGGTCCAAAATTTGATCCCCGATACCAAAAAATAAAAAAAGAAAGAAATAATCAGTTAACACATTGATTATTTACAATATTTTTTGTACTTGCTATTGAAGCACCAAAGCTACTTCTATATGTTCAGAAAGTAGAAAGATTTTCATCTAAATCAATACCCAGAAGAGTCTAGGTATAGCATTTCCCCCAATAGAGATATAAAAATTAACTGATTCTGGATCACAAATGTGAATCCAAAGCTAAACGTGCAATCTATTATTTCTTCCAGCATTTTGTATCTTTTCATAAATGTGAAGGTTGAACAATTCAGATCTTTTTACAATTACAGTTTTAACACCCATAATATTCTAAGTACTACATAAGACTTTTCAATTAAGAAAAGTCTAAAACTCCATCCTACAATGGATTTAATTAGCAAGATTTCTGAGTGGTTATTGCATTTAGTGGGAAATTAGTGCTGTAGAATTGGAGCACATTAGAGCTATGTCAATTAAGTTTTCATCTCAATTATAGCGTGGTAAAAAAGGGAATTCAAACTCATTTGGAGAGCTGTATCTTAATAAGAGGGACTTGAATTTATTTTAGAGATCACTTGATGTCTTTTCATGTGTTACAACTGCTCAAAGATTGCATTTGGTCTCTTATTCAATAAATAATCCAGTCGCTTGCATGACTGTAATATTCTTTGATAACTATATAAGGAAAATTCTTGAATAACAGTTTTAGTGCCAAATTATGATATTGAATCATTTGAATAAATAACTAGAACAAATAACTGGTGTGAGACTCTTAATCATCAATGCTCTCTTTCAGAAAATTTTCTGGTATACAAATCAATCCTAAATAGAGGAAAATAACAGTGAGATGAACTATGGGAGCTGATGCCTGCTAACCAAAACAAAATGTGCCCTAAAGAAGCCTTACATTATAAAATACACCCTATCAGAACCTAAATAGAAAAGAAAATAAACATTTTCAATAAAATGTGATCTTTTTATCTCATAATTTTAGGTTGCATTGTGCACACACGGGGGCCATCTCCATGTGGAAATCTTCCCTAAAGCAGGTAGAAATCCAGGCTCACTGACCACAGGAGCAGAGCCAGTGTGAGGTTAGCCACACACCCGGCCCAGTAAACCTGAGTGTCTCGGGGATGCAGATGCGCACAAACTTCACAAAACAAGCACAGTCTCCATGGAAGCACCATGATGTTGCTTCCACAACAGTGAAACATGGGGAAAAAAAGGCCTAATATCAATAATAGGATATTAAAAGATTGGGGATTTAGACTAATAAATTCTTCACAGGTTAGAGACTGCTTGATCTGCCTAGCATTGCCTTCTTTTCTTACTCACAGAAGCTCTTTGACTAAGAAGATCCTCAAATTGGGAGCAGATCTGTGAACTTAACTCCAGTAGCTGGTTGAAGTGGAGGTGGAATTTTGCCTGTGACAGCTCCAGATAATGAACTTGACCACAGTTCAAGATGAATGAATTATGAGACTGAACATGTATATTACTATCTATTTCTGAGACGTTGGTGTCTGATGAGTTCAATTTAAACACATGCATTCAGGTTCTCCAGTCTAATACTTAAGGTATTTTAGTAAAACAGAGCAAAAGGCACAAGCTTCAGCCAGAGTCCTGCCATTCTATTGGTAAGTGTGTGCAAATCCCAGGGAGAAGCTGTGAGGCCCAGACCGGCCCAGCTGCAGGTGGATCCCATCCAGGGGTCCCCCCAACCCCAGAGGCTCCTGTACACCCACCCAAGCCAAAGATCAGCCCAGAAAAGAGCTGCGCAGGAGCACAAGATGCAGCCAGAGGCCCATCATACCATCGCCCACAGCCAAGGACCCACCTGGAAAAGAGCTACACAGGCCCAAAAGCAATACCCAGGGGCTCGCCCCCATACCATTGATAAGTGCGTGGATCCTAGCCAAAGCCTGTGCAGACAATAGAAACTGGGGTGCACAGCCCTCAGCCAAAGGCCCTCCCAAACATAGGGGCCCAAGTGAGAGGCACACCTAGATACCATCCCAAGTGTGCACAGGCCCCAGCCAGAAGCCCACCTAGACAACAGGTCAGCTCAGGGATCCAGGAGGCCACCTTTCTGAACCCAGGAATTGGTGTACTGGTGAGCAGCAGAGTAAAGGCTGCTCAGTGGCTTGATGGGAATTCAAGACAACTGGATGAGCAAAAAGTCGCCTCAACAAATGCACAGCAGGCTGTATCTGCTGAAATGAGAAGACACATAAACAAGTCTCAAAACAACACTTCCAGATCACCCAAGGAAACCCCAAAGGGCAACAAGATGGAACAATCTTATACTCAACCACCTGGACTCCCTGAACTGGCAACAAAAGAGGACCTGGAAAAAATGAAATCAGAAATAATTTCTCAGATAAGAGCAGAGATTGTGTCCATAATACAAGACATGATTAATAAATCCAGAGCAGACACAGATAAAAAAATAGAGGAGCTGAGGAACATGATGGAATCCTAACATAGGAAACAAATGGAAGACATAAAACACATAGAAACAGATTTCCAGGAGATTAAAACTCCATTGAAAGTTTATGCAACAGAATGAGCCAATGTGAAGACAGAATGTCAGGTATAGAAGATAGGATTGCAATTAGTGAACAGGAAAAGAAAAATTTCTTAAAAATAG